TGAATTATATTTTCAAATTGACTACATACCTTCTTTTGTTGAAGAAACTTCACCGATTGTTGATACATATGTTGTTGTTGTTGTTGTTGTTTTGATATCTGAAAAGTTTGTAAGATGAAACAAGTCATAAATCGACAAAATTCGTATTTAATTATAGATAAAACTGATTAAATACCTGCATTAGTTGACGAAGTTCGATTTGTTATAGCTATTGTTGTTGTTGCTTTTGTCCTTTTCGTAAGAACAATAGTAGTCGGAATAACAACTGCTGCAATGACTACAACAGCAACAATAATACCCAGAATAATCCATAATTTTTTTCTTTTAATGCCTACATTTCTAAGGAATTCAAAGTTTATTTTTGAGAAATTTCAAATAACAAAAAAAAAGAATTCCTACTGTGCCATTGATGATGCATGACTTGTTTCTGATACCATTGATGAAAATTAAGTAATTCAAAAGATGAACATTGAAGATTTAATTCAAATGATCTACAATATTAATCAAATTTTGTTTTATGTTATTGTAATAATTTTTTATAATTAAAATAACCCTAATGTATGTATTCTCATTTTCTCGTTTTTAATAAAATGAATTAGCATTAGAAAAAAAAAATTCTCAAATCTCATGTGATGATATTTACTAATGATTATTGATATTCTCCATCTGTTATTTTAATTTATACATAGTTATTTTTGAAGTTGTATAGACATTAGAAACTATTATCTACAAAACATGAGCTATTTATTCAATAATCATTTACAATAAAAAAATATCATAGAAAAGCCTTCTGTGTATGTGTTTTTATTTCCGTTCATTTTAGAAAAAGGAAGTTTGTCGACGAACATATTTTAACACCTTGATTATGTTGGCGACTACCAAGATTCAGTCTTTTTTTGAATATATTGAATTTTTTTTAAACCATTGGATTCATCTGAATTGATTTTATTGATAGCATATATTACATTTTAAACGTATGAAAACAGAACAATAGTACTGAAGAGGAGTAAATCTTCATTCTCAGTTGATTTTTAGCCCTAAGTATTATTCTTAGCTTGGGTCTCAAGAAGATACCTACTTGCAGCTTAGGTTTTATCTATTGATGATAACACATATAACTGGATTCGTAGAAAAGTTCGAATCAGTCCCAAAAAAAATCAATGCTGAAAGCTGTTAGATTATGTCACAGAGTATTTTTCGCTTCTCTGGAAATAAAACTTTTATAGTAGAGAGGACAAATGTATGCAGTCATTATTGCACTGTATGATGCAGAAGTTTTATTTATTGTTCATATTGACTGTTCGATTTTGTCTTTCCAACATTAACGATCGACTTCATTGATAATTTGTGAAGACTAGAAAAGTGATAAACGTAATGGTAAATATTTAATGCGACACCAACTAACATTAACAATATGTCATAATTTTCTTTGTCAATTTGAAAGTCTTTTCATAGATATATATTTCGAAATGTGAGAAGAAATATTTGCAAGAAATTATTTTTACATTAGATCATTTTTTTTGTCTTGAGTTTAGTTATTCTATGTTTTTTTTAAATAGAAGTTACTTAGTAATATGCATTGTTTTGAAATGAAACATATTGGTAAAGACGTGTCATTCCGGAAAACATACTTTTCTGTAATGCATTTTATCTAAACCCTGATATATAAGTGTTATATCTAATGACATCAAGTATATTATATTTATCGTTACAATCTATGACCATAGGTATAGCACAAAATGAAATTAACTATTGAAGAGAGAAATATGCACGTAATACTGTAGATTTTAAAATATACAGAACGGAAAAGCGGATCGTAAATTTTTAGGGTTTTTTTCAGGATCGATCGAAATTCATGTTGTCTTCTTGAACAAATAATTATATATTTAATCGCTGATGGCTGCGAGATTTTAGTAGTACTCATAAAAACATGGAAAGAGTGTAACAAATAGAAAAAAGAGAAAAAGAAAGTGAGGAAACAAAGAAAAATTTTACTCATGTGTGGATCAATAAAAGTCTCAGTAGAATGCTCTAATAAATATAAAAGTTTAAGGTGACATGAATTTAAAATGTATCAGAAAAACTTTCCAAAGTATGCAAATCTAACATGTCAAAATCAGTTATTGACAGAGAACATCTCCAACTGTCAAATCGTTTTTCGATTGAATATATCCGCAAACGATAGATATCAGGGAGTTATTACACAAC